TTACTACAGGAGGTTTGTCAAATCCTATGGTATCATTAGTTCACCACTGGCTAATCTGTTGAAGAAGAACTCGTTCCAATGGAATGCAGAAGCAGAAGTGGCTTTTCAGCAATTGAAAGAAGTCATGGCATCAGTACCAGTATTGGCTTTAGCTGACTTCACCAAGCCATTCATTGTGGAGACAGATGCATGCTCTACTGGCATGGAAGTTGTGTTGATGCAAGAGGGCAGGCCTATAGTCTATTTCAGTAAGGCTTTAGCTCCCAAAAATAGGGGTCTCTCTACATATGAGAAGGAATATATGGCAGTGTTAGCTGCAGTAGACAAATGAAGACATTATCTCCAAGGTGGACACTTTATTGTCAAGACAGATCATCAGAGTTTGAAATATCTCTTGGAACAAAAAGTAACTACAACATTGCAACAGAAAGGTCTAACCAAGTTGATGAGGTTAGACTATGAAGTACAATATAAGAAGGGAACAGAAAACAGAGTAGTTGATGCTCTTTCAAGAAGACAAGATGAAGAAAGTACCCTACTGGCTATGTCTACAACTCAAGCTACTTGGTTACAGGAAGTGAGTCTAAGCTATGAATCTGACCCTGTGTCCTTACAACTGTTGAGGGAATTGGCCATTGCCCCTGATAGTAATGTAGACTATTCTTTACATCAGGGAATTATTAGGTATAAACAAAAGATCTATATTGGGAAGAGTACTGAGTTAAGGCATAAGATACTGGAAGCACTACATCAGTCACCTTTAGGTGGTCATTCAGGGCAACAAGGGACCTACAGAAGAGTGCAATCTATATTCTACTGGCCTAACATGAAAACAGAAGTATGCAAATGGGTTAGTGAGTGTGATGTGTGTCAAAGGGTGAAGTTAGAACATGTTCACCCTCTAGGATTACTACTGCCCTTACCCATACCCAACCAAGCCTGGGAAGACATTTCCCTAGATTTTGTAGAAGGGTTACCTTAGTCAGGCCATAAAAATGCAGTCTTGGTGGTAGTTGACAGATTAACCAAGTATGGGCATTTCCTACCTCTTAAGCATCCATTCACAGCTCAAGATGTAGCAGAACTATTTCTTAGGGAGATCTATAGACTACATAGGCTTTCTAAGACTATTGTATCTGATAGAGATGCCATTCTCACTAGCCACTTCTGGTAGCATCTCTTCAAGACCTTGGGTACTAAGCTCAATATGAGTTCAGCTTACCATCCTCAATCAGATGGTCAGACTGAGAGGCTCAACAGATGCATGGAGACCTATTTGAGGGCTATGGTTTTCAACAATCCTAAGGAATGGGTTAAATGGCTCCATTTGGCAGAATAGTGGTACAACACCAACTACCATAGCTCCCTTAAAACTACTCCTTTTCAGGCCCTATATGGTTATCCCCCGACTTAGTTACCATTAGGCTCCTTGCTGAACACTGGTCGACATCCATCTGGAGTATGCTTAGCACAGAGACAACATTTATTATATACACTCAAAGACAATCTGACTCAAGCTCAGTCAAGAATGAAGTTTTATGCAGATAGACTCAGAACTGAGAGAGCCCTTGAGGTTAGAGATTTGGTTTATCTCAAATTACAACCTTATCGACAGGCTTCTATCGTTGTACGTAGGAATGTGAAGTTGTGTGCTCGCTATTATGGGCCCTATAAAGTCTTACAAAGAGTGGGTTCAGTGGCTTACCGTTTGGAGTTGCCAGCAGATTCACAGCTACATCTAGTCTTCCACATCTCTAGCTGAAGAAAAGGGTTGGACCAGCTATCGATCCTCAGCCAGAACCTCCGATTTGTGACGATGCAGGTCAAGTCTTGATTCAGCCTATGGCTATCTTGCAGCGAAAAATGACTAAAGTGGATAATGGGGTTCATGTGAAAGTCTTGGTTCACTGGACTAATTTGAGTGAAGAAGAAGCCACATGGGAAGATTGGGGTTACATTAAAGGCAGATTTCCAGAGTTCGTGGCTCAGCAAAGACCTTGAGGACAAGGTCATTCTTTGAAGGGGAAGGGATTGTAACGTTTGAAGGCGGAATTAGGAAAGTGGAGATATGGTATTGCTATAATGGGGTGTAGAAGCTTCTATAGGCTACTTCTTTGGGCCAGTATAAATGAAGACACATTGGGCCAAATTAATCAGAAAGACGATGACCCACTTATAGCAGCCCAACCAACATTAATAAACAATAAATACACAGCTAGGAGAGGGAAGCATCAATCAAGTTCTGGTAATTCCGTTACTTCCTAACAAACTCCTTCTCTTTTCTCTCTCATTTCTCTCTCTTCTCTCTAGATCCTAACCTCCTTTTCTCTTCTTAATTCTCAGGTCATTTCCATGGAGTTAGCTAGATCTGTGTAAAATTCCATTGACGAACAGTGCTTCCTTGATCAATAAAGCTTTCTTCCTTCTATTTTTGTCTCAATTACTATAATCTATACTAGTTCATTACATTGGATGAAGTCCGAACAGTTTTCTCAAAGGGCCTCACACTCAACAGTTTTCTCGTGCTCATGTAGTGAGTGAGAAGGGATATTTTAAGCAATGTTTTTCAAGGTCCATCTCATCTTTACTATTTAACGCACCGTATCTAATGCCTCTAAGACAGAGCTAGAGACATCATATGAGTTTTCTACTCTTTTTGTTTTTTCAACTTGTGTATATCTGATTGGGATTGCATGTGGGCTTGAGTGCCATGATCAGGCAGCAGGAGAAATTAAAACCTATAAATTGCGACGTAAAGATGTTTAGCAAGTACAACTCGATATATGCTCACTGCCAATCTTAAAGTTTCTTGCTGAGAAAATAAAGCTTCACACAACATGATATCACACTGAGAATGAATTGAAAGCTCAAACATGTGGAGAATGAACAACCAACTATTTATTGTCGCTAACTACAAACTAGAACAGCTTTACAGCAATTTCAACAGGCTACCTCTTCTTTACCCAGTGGATTTTTCTGCTTGCGAGCTTTGATTTTCTATACCATCCTAGTGCTTATAATCATCCGTCAACTTGAAATTGGCTTGCTATTTCGCAATTCTGAACATCTAAGGGATAATGAGGGTGGGTACACAATTGAATGATGAGTTGGATATCTTGTGTTTCAACCCCAAATTTAAAATTGTTGAATTAGGACTCGTTTTTAATTTGATAGGTCGAATACGGAATAATTCATTAAATTATTGATATTCCAATATTTTGGACGCAGTATTTTTGATAAGTTCCGAATATTTCTTATTTTTAAGCAGCATTGGAAATAGACAACTATGAAAAATAAAAATAAAAAGAACTTTGATAATCTATCTACAAAATTTCAAGAACATCTCAAATTGTCCTTATGGTATTATTTATTGGGTGTTAAGTTCCATGTCTTTCTTATTTCTAAGCAACATTGAAAATAAACAATTACTCACTTTGGTCCACTTTAATTAATTTTTTTGACATTTATCTTATGGTCCACGATATTTGATTTTTTCAAATATTAAAAAGGAATTAACTTCTTTTTTCTAAAGTTTTCCTTGAAATAAAGAGCCTAGGAGTATTTATTATATTTCATATGAACAAATTAAAGTTAAAATTATTATTATAATTGTTAATTAATAATAAAAGGTAAATTCTTTAATATATGAGAAAATAATCAAAAAATCAATTAAAGTGGTCCGGAGTAAGTACACAACAAACAACAGAAATTTATAGGTGTAATGGCTTCCTGGCCACTTAAACTTGTAGGGCTTTTGAAAGCCGATACACGAACTTTGGATTTTCCCATTTGAATACTCCAACTTGACAAAATGGGTAATAATAAACACATCCATCAGAGCGTGTATATCAATTGGGCTGACATGTACATCACATCATGCTAAGCTATTTATTACTTGCATGTGTTATTTGTGGGTCCCATTTTTAAATATAAAATCAGAAGAAAAAAAAAGTTACAAATACAAAAAGGAAAAAAAACACATGAAACATAGTTTGACAATTCCAACGTGGGAATCGTCCCCTCCGACGAGCAGCAGAACTCCAGCGAGGCAAAAATGAACGCGCAAGGTGTTCCAGGTATCCAAATTGGAAAAGAAAGGTGCCAAAATGTTCGCCTTGATGAGGAGAATGCTCCTACACTTCCAATTTCATATGGGTACCAACCAATTCCTCCAATTTTACAATCCAAAAGCTCAGGCAGTCCGGTTGAGCAAGGTGTTCGACGAAATGCCCCTATCAATTCTGGACCAATTGGAGACCAATTTCCAATTGGAATCCCTTTTACTACACCCATGGATCATCTATGCAAATATTCAGCTCAATCCATTCAAGAAATCAACCATCACCACCAAGTTGAAAACTGAAAACTTCACCAGTTGGTCGGGCAAGGTGATCAGGCAAACCAAAGGACTCAAAACCAATGCCAAACTACTCCTGCTCCTCAGGAGAATGTTTCCAAACCTTCAAACCAGACCTTACATGGGCCAAATCTTTCGAATATCCAAAATGGTCATTCTGCACACTGTTCATATAACAGCGTTCGACCAAATGCCAACGCACCCTCCAGTTCTGCTCAACCTCTTTCACTAGGATTCTGAACTTACATGCTCCGGCATGGTCTGGTGAAGTTCGTAGCATCACTTAATCCATGTCCACTATGGGAAGATGAAAAAATTGGAAAAGTCTTTTTTTTCTTTTTCATGTTTCTTTTTTATTTATATTTTATTCTAATTCTAATTTTTTTAAGTAAAAACAATACTATTCACGCGTCTTGGGAGCGTGATTTGCACACAGTTTAGCCATGTCAGTTGTAGTGCTTCCACATAGGCATGATCAACGGTCAAATGTATTTATTGTTACCCATTTTGTCAAGTTGGAGTGTTCAAATGGAAAAATCCAAAGTTAGTCTATCGGCTTTCAAAAACCTTACAAATTTAAGTGGCCAGGAACTCATTACGCCAAATTTATAATCTGGAAACTCTCAAACTTTTAAGGCAGAAATAATATTTCCATAACCTAAGGGGGCCAGGTTAATACTCTGTATGCTAGTAGTCCTAAAACCTCCCCTCCCCAACCTTCGTACTTCCCCCAGACCCCTTAAACCCATATTTGTGTCGCCGCCGTAATCACCGTTTCCGGCACTCTTACAAAGTCCAATTCTCTAAATAGCTCTTATGCAATATTAAGACTCTGTAATCATGAGGTGCTTCAATCGATTTATCTCTCATTCTCTATCTCGCCGTTCCAGAACCATTTCCACATTTCATCAAACACGTAATGTGCATTCTCTCTATAGACGACTCCCTCAGTCCAAGATTCAAAATTTCTCCCAAACCCATTTCTATAGTTCAAATTTCACTACGTCAGCTCAGGAATCAAAGCCGGCCCCACCAGAGAGAGTATCAGCGATAGTCGATGAGATTTCGGGTCTAACGTTGCTGGAAGTATCGGATTTAGGTGAGGTTTTGAGGAAGAAAATGGGTATTGAAGAGATGCCTGTAATGGCAATGATGATGCCCGGAATGGGATTTAGTGCTGGAGGGATGAAAGGAAAGGGCGGGGCAGCTGCGGGGAAGGCAGAGGAGAAGGCGGAGAAGACTGTGTTTGAATTGAAACTTGAAGGAGGATTTGATGCCGGGTCAAAAATCAAGATTATTAAGGAAGTAAGATCTTTTACTGATCTGGGACTCAAAGAGGCTAAGGATTTGGTGGAAAAGGCTCCGACTGTGTTGAAGAAAGGTGTTACGAAAGAGGAGGCTGAGAAAATCATTGAGAAGATGAAAGGGGTTGGAGCTAAAGTCACTATGGAGTGAGGTAATTGTTCATGTCATTCTAAATTAAAAAGCTGCTTATGAATTTGAATCAGTGGAATGCAATTATTAATAATAGGGAATGAGCCAAGCTGGATAGATGCACAATATTTCTCACTGTTTTGTGTTGCTGTGATATAGAGACTATGAAATCAAAGATTTTCGGTTATCCTACAATTATAGGAACGCATGATAATTGTTTTGCAAAAAGTATGATATTGTTCTGTTTCCTGCTTTCATATGCTACATAATTCTGTTTTCTAACTATTTGGTCAGATGATATTTTCTTTTTCTTATTAACAATTTTGAAGCATGTCTATTCAATATCTTAATATCGGTCCATGAGCAAAATATAGTGAGCAGGGGAGCCCACTAAGTGGATTGCCTGTACTTTTAGCAATCTTTAGAATTTAATGAATTAGTTTAAACTTCTGGCTAAAACCTGTGTGGAAGCATAAGTTGGTTTGTACTAATGCTGAATCTTTGTTTACGATATGATACCTCGGTTTAGGTACAATATTTATTGTTATAAGGTTGGAGAAAGTTGAGTTTACTAGAGTTGTGATCTTCTTTTCTTTTTAGTACGTTATGCATGAAGTGTGGATGTCCTTGGCATGATATGCTGCCTGATGGAGGATTGTTGGATTTTCTGTGGGCTCTCTCAAAGTCTAAAAGGCTGATTACAAATCTTGGGTGGTTTGAAGCTCGTTTTAACTAAATGTGTAGTCTGGTGCACTGAACTTCTACAATGCATATGGGGAAAGATAGGAGCACATTGGGGTTATTTTAGGCTTCCTTTAACTTGCATTTCTACAAGTGTGTTGTTTCCGCAGCTTGTACCCTTGACCTCCTTCTCACATGGCAACAACTCTTACCATTGAGCCATTGCTCCCCTTTGGTCTAAAGCTCTATTGCATGTTCCTCAAGCTTATCTTGAAGGCAATGCAAAGTCTTTCATTACCTAGGGATTCTCTAATTAGTTCTAGGGGAAAATAGTTGAATGGGACTGGCAGAACAAAAGTGAATGGGGGAAATATTCTCAGAGTTCCAAGTGGAAGAATTTAAGTGGGTAATCACTTCACCGTGCATCTTCCGTTGTTTGATATTTTGGAACCAAAGGAAATTCTACTTCCCATTCCATTAGTTTTACTCATGTGTGTAGCTGATCTTTACTATTGGATCATCAATATCTATCTAATTTGATTTGATCAAAGATGGTCATATTTATCTTTTCTTTTGAAGAACACACTGTTGAAGGTTTTCGTAACAATTACATCATATAATTAGTCATGTAGATATCTACTTGCTGTGAATAACATCTACTAACCTGCATGCATTAGATACTTACAACTAAAATATAGTCTTTTGGAGGTTTAACCTTCATCTATCAAACTGTTTGAGATTGGATTTGTGTAACCTTCTTCCCTATGTGTGGAGATGAGATAACACAGATTTTTTTTCTTTTTTTGCTTTTGTTCTGGGACAGAGGAAGGGATGCACTTTTTGTTGCATTTGTAGATGCCTTTTGGTATATTGCAACCTGATTCATTGGCTGGTGACTTTTTTTTGTATCATTCATTTCCTTTATGAGTTTAAAGATGAAATGACTTGGAAGCACTAATGGCTAGTGCTTACATTTTCTTTATGTGCGTGTACAGATTCCTTGATTGTATGTTTGCGACAAGGTTTGGGAGCTTAAAGGTCATGATTTTGTAACAGAATCTACATTTGGTGATGCATCAGGTTGGGAGGTTCATGGTTACTAAGCAAGCACTAACAGCCCAGAGGCTATCTTTTCTAGTTCGAATAAAGGAGACCTTGAGATTCCTAGGACCTTCTAGAGCTATTTGGTTGAACTGACATCTTAAGATTGATGCACAATGTTATATAGATTTGATAGGTTATGAGCTGAAAAGGCGATCGTATATTTGTGACCATGGGTTAGTTTTCCATCCAGTAAGACCAATTTGCACTTTTTATTTAAATTATTTAGGCTCCAGTTGGTTTGAGATTATCATGACAAGGTTCACACAGTGACAGAAAGCTTCTATTCACATTTCAAGTCAAAGAATTTAGGAGTGATGATGTTTTCTTGGTTGGACCCTTTGCGATTATGCATGAGGAAATTTTGAGTATGTCATATTTTTGTTTATGATGACTATCTGTTTAACTCAAGTAGATAGCGCATAAGCTATATTCGCTATCATCTTGTGGTTGAGATTCTCTAGCTGCCAACGCCATGCTAACAATGTATTCCAACTCAGTGTATCAACAATCTGCAGCTGAGCAGCTCCCACATTATATCGAAGCAATTAAGAACGACGGGTTGTCCGGATTTTCAACTATATTATGAGCACCAAATAGAAATTATTGGTTTGTTTAATTTGATTAGATGGTCGAAATGGTTCGCAAGGTTTACTACCAAAATGCAAGATGGTGCGGCGTAGTGGAGGATAGGGGCATGCTACTGAAAATTTTAAAGGGTAATCATTACAACAGCACGAACACTATCTTGTTTTTGCCTAATTGTCATAATGGCAAAACTAATAGATACCGGAATAAGAACATTTCACCACACGCATATTGAAAGTGTGATCTTGAAACTATAAACTTAAATTTGCTCCCGTTTGGTCATAGATTTTGGCTTTATATTTTAAAAAATAAATAAATACACTATTTGTTTATGAAATATGATCATGTTTTGGAAAAGAAAAAATCAAAAAATTTCAAGCTCCCAAAAACTGGTTTAGGGCAGGTTTTGGGGGGAAATTTTTCCTCCACTTACGAAACTTTAACTTTTCTTCAAATAAAATACATTTCCAAACACAACTTCAACTTTCAAAAATTATATTTTAAGATAACTTCAAAAACTATTTTTTCAAGTTTTAATCAAATCTATATTCAAACACTAGCTTTGATTTGGAACAAATGAGTCGAGCTTTTGGATGATGTTACTCTCGCCTTCTAATCATACGAGTTTCGGCCAAACATTAACAAAGATAAAGTTGTTACTTGTTCTGGTAATATCAGGGTTAAACATGCTAAGGTGATAATTTGAAGGGCAATAAGACATTTAAAAAAGGTTTAGGGACCATATTGTGCCTTTTCCTACTGGATCATATGGTACAAAAGTCTAGGGCCTCTAGGCTATTAAATTCGTCTTTAGGCGTTCGACCATTTTCTTTGTTGCTGGTTATTGCATTTGGTTAAAATTTGTATTATTTTATGTGAGATAAAATAGGAAGTAAAATATATGAATTAAAATAATTAAATAATAAAAATAATCATCCATACAGTAATAAACATTTTACTTTATTAAAAAATAAATATATTTTAAACAGATAATTGTAGAGACATCCTTCAGGTTTTGCTTTTTTACACGGACCTTCCATGTGATTTATGATATTTACCTCCCTTACTTTGATTTTCTTTTAATTTTTTTATTTTTTAATTACTAATGTAAAAAAGTTAAAATATTGCTACTGTACCCTTCTAATATTAAACTTTTTCATTTAACAAAAAATACTGAACTCTTTTAATTAATTAATTGTATGAATATCTTATGAAATGGAACTTCTTAAGAATAAAAAACCCAATCCAATACTCGTTCCTAGATTATTTCTCTTCCGCGTTCACCGACAAGCCAGCTTCTCTGTAAAAGAAATCAATTTAGGTACTTTCCTACATATTTATGTTTCTTTGTCTCTCGTTCAAGGTTTAATTAAAAGTATAATAAGCAACTGTTTTATAAAAGCATTAAGGTTTATGCGGTTTACCCTTAAAATTGGATAACAATTAAACTTATAAGTGGATTTAAGGATATGTCATTTCAGTTGGCACAAACTAATAAATATACAAATTAATGTTAGAAATTAACTGTAAAATAAAGCCAAACAAATACAATGAGCAGTTATGGTCTTCGAGCTAGATCGCCCTCGAAGCAACAGAATATGCTAACAAATGAGTATGAACTGAACAACAGAGCTTAAGAGAGAAAATGTGATATATTGCTTTGTTATGCGTGAATCCCATGTTTACAAAATGATTAGAACCCTCTTTATATAATAGAGGGATTCTACTTATGGTACAATTCTAAATACAGAAGGCAATCCATGATTGGCTAAATGTCTGGTCTTGACTTGATATATGCCGAGATTTCTGCCACGATCCTTGCCCAGTCACGGATATCTCGGCTTTCTGTTATTCGATTTAGCAGGCTCTCTTCGATCATGCTCGGTCCCAATCTCGCTTTGGTCTCGATCATGGCTGGTCTCGATCTTGATCGATTATCGACGCACAAGCTTAGCGATCCATCTCCATGCCATGCTCTAATGCAATGTGAGGTCGGGCCTAGGCCTGCCACCCCGGTTTCGATTAGTCATACGAAGTTAGATAGGCCTGATTTTGACCGTATACAGATAGTCCCCTTGTTTTTTGGAATATAATGACAAGAAACAAATTGATCCTTCGAACTTCCCCTCGATTTACCATGACGTAAGCATCGTGACGCAAGCGGCCGAAGTGATCGAAACGTCCCGTCGGTTCAGTTTCCTAGGTATTTAATGCACGTCAGTCGACGGTCTGCCACTACCAATATTGAACCGTCGTTGCGAAACTAATAAATAGCCACCTTCTTCATTCTTTCAAACTTTACTTTCAATTACCTTCATCCTAATCTCCACAGTTCTTTGCTTTCTCCAAATCTTTGTGTTTTCAATTTTCTGGGTTTCTTTACTTGTTTCTTCGCAAAACATTCAAGCGTTCCTTCTCCGTTTTGTTCTTCTCCATCTACAACATGGCTAAGACCTCAAAAACTGTCCCACACAAGGAGAGCGCTTCCTCATCAAAGCCGATGTCGAGGTATACATGTACGATTACGGAAGATCTCCTCGAGAAGGTGAAAGAGGAGTGCAGCTGGGTGGGCAAAGATGTGGTAGTTCCTACCCCCGAGGAATCCATCACAATTCACGTGAAGAGGTATCTAAGTGTCTATACTTACCCCTTCACAATAGGTCACGTAGACTGTATCATCGTTGCAGTTTGCAAGAGGGACGATGTCATTCTTAGCCAAATCCATCCATCGTTCTGGAGGATCGTGATCCTTCTCCGGTTCTTTACAAGCAAGACCGAGGGGCATCCTTTTACCCTCGATCACCTTATGCATCTCTACATTCCCCGGCTTTATCGTGGAGGCATGATTAAGCTTTACTGCCGAGCCACCAAACCCCCATTCTCGAGCATAGACGAGACCCGAGATCGAGGTTGGATGGGCAGATTTGTCCGAGTAAAGACTTCGGACCTAATCCCTGCCGAAGACATGTCGTTCCTAGAAAAATGGAACATGAATCGTAAATATTGCTTCGCCTTGAATATCTAACTTTGCCTTTTTGCTTCTTATCTTCCTTCCTAATCCGCGCCTTTGTTTTGTAGCTGTGGCCGTTGTTCCGGAGGTGATTCCCGATCTCGAGCAATGGGTCAGGGGCCTGGTGTCACAGAGGTCATACTCCGAGCGTGCTTGGATGGAAATATCGAATGGCCAATGGGAGGCACGTAACCATGGTAATTTTTTCTTCTTAGAACAGTTTCCATTTGGACTTTGTATTGTATTTATTCATCTTTTTCCCCTTTGTAAGGATGTACCAATGAGACCCCCCTCTACTGAAGAAGAGGCGCTTTTCCCTCCACCTGCTCTAAAGCAGACCAAGGAGAAGAAGAGAAAAGGGGCTCCGAGCTCTCCGGGCCCGGAAAAGAAAAAACTGGCAAGGAGGCCCCGTAAACCCAAGAGAAACTTCATCCGCCTAACCATGGAGTCAGTCAAACAGCTGAGGGATGAGTCTAAAGAGGATGAAGAAGAAGAAGACTCTGGGCTAGTGACCCGTGCGTGAACTGGCACCGAAACTCAAAGGACTGTCAAGCCGGCGGGAGCTGAAACTGCTTTTCCTCGTCTTGACGAAGTCCCCGAATCAGAAAAAGTGGAAGGCGCTTCACCTCGAGGTGAGAAGGCTACCTAGGAAGCGGTCGAGGTCGGTGTAGAAACCGTGCTCGATGCTTCCCGTGACGAAGTCGGAGTCCCAAAAGATTCACTTGGGGCAATGGAGATTGGAGATGTCTCCTCGTTGCCTTGTTCTCTGATACGATGATCAAGGATGCTCAGGCATGAAGCAGAAGACCTTTTCAGTGGCTATTTTGCTGAAGTGGAAGATGTCACCGGTCTGGGTGACTTGGATGTACTGAGGAAGAGCTTGAATGAGGCTTCCTCGAGCTTTAAACTAACCAACCAATTCCCAGCCCCCGACATTGATCCCGGGCATACGCAGCCACTTATCTTCTCGGTCCCGGAGGATGCTCAAGTTTTCTCTCCCCCGTAAGGGTGGCTATCTATCTCCGATGCTTGGTTACTGAAGAAGACCAAGCCAAGATGTATGAAGTGGAAGTTGCTTGCTTGTTCAACGAGGCCCAGCATATTCTGAATCGGGTAAGTTCAAGGGCCATTGCATTATCTCTTTATGACTTTGAATTATGGATATCTCTAACATTTTCTTCCTTTCTCGTAGGCTTCGGTGTTGCATCATGAGGCCTTTCTTTGAATCCGAGAGGAACGCAAGGCCGAGGTCCAGGGTCTCACTGAGAAATGCGATACTTACAAGCTTCTTAGTGAGAAGCTTCAGGTAGACTTGGTGGCGGCTCTAGATGAGCATACTGAGATGGCTGAGCAGGTATTCTAAGTTATTTATGATAGTGAGGATGAATCGGAGATAACAACTAACGATCCAATTCTGCAGGTTCGATAGAGGCTCGAACAGATCAAGGGCCTCCAAGGGCAAATAGATAAAGTACGAGCCGAGGCTGAAGAGTTCAAGGGTGTATGGACATTTTGGCTGCACAAAAGGAGGTCATTCAAGGAGAGATGGATTTGGCTGAGTCTCAGGTTCGGTTTGTAAGAGAGATTTCCTCGGTTCAGGCAAAGAAAGTCGAGGAGCTCGAGAGGTAGCTAGATCTGAGGCGGTCGCAGCCAATATTAAGGCCCAGGCTGGTGTGACACAATACAAGGCCGATACTGAATCCACCCTAGCGCAAGCCAAGAGCATGGTGAATCATGCAAAGTGACAAGCTCGAAAGGAGGCCCTTGAGGGGGCCCGCAATCAAAGCTTTGAT